AGCGTCGACAAGGTCAGGACAAGATCACCTTCAATTTTTTAAATGGGACCTCCTACATTTTTATTACATATTCTTGTAGCCCTTCTTCAGACCTTTTCAAAGCATTATAACTTTTTCCGCTTTGAATAAGCCGTTTCGAAGTTACCGAGCTTTTTATGATAAGATGTCCAGCTAACCAAGACAAGATCAAAGAAGTATCCAACCAGCCAAGGCAAAATTTTCACAAAAGCGTTTAAGAATAATGTTAATCTTTAAAAGAAAAAGTGAAGTCTAACGAATAAGCTACGAAACAAAAAGATTTATCCGATAAACAGAAATTTGTATTAATTAGATAATAAAATCTATAATTCAATTAAAGAAAGAAAAATCAGTAAGAAAAATCATTTATCTTTTCCGTATGAAACAACGCGTATCATGTACAAGTAATATGTTCTACTTCAAGTTAAATTCATTGCAATTGATTTGAAATGATTGGAAAGTGAATTTTAGTACTATTATAAATTTAGTACATTAGTATTATTTTTTAATATTACATGTGTCTAAAATACAAGTCACGAAATTGCTCCGGCCGCTGGTTGGACATCTTATCATAAAAAGCTCGATAACTTCGAAACGGTTTACTCAAAGTAGAAAATATTATAATGCTTTGAAAAGGTCTGAAGAAGGGCTACAAGAATAAATGCAATAAAAAATAGGGAGTCCCATTTAAAGAATTCAAGGTGACCTTGCCCTGATCTTAGCGACTCTACCCAAGGTCAAACTCATAACGTCAGTGAATAGATCTTTTGAAACCCTACAATTTTTATTTGAAACATTTTTTTCTAAAATGTTTAGTTTTTGTGATATTTCACTGTCCCGATATTTCTTATACATCCTGTATATATAATATGAATTACAATATGAATATGGAAAAAAAAACATAATAAGGATTCATAATAAGGTAATTTAATAAGGACCTGACTATGAATCCTTAATAAGGTCTTAATCCACGCTGCGTTACATCCCGAGAGCAGAACAAATAATGCCCTGATAAAATTGCCTAAAATCGAGAAACCTGATCAAATGTCCATCAGGACCAAATCAGGCATCCAAATAATAGCGTCATTGCTGGCCAGGATATAATCCAGAAAATATTGCAACGACAATTGCCACATTCCGACCGGATAAGGACCACTCATAATGCCTTCTTATGGCTTGTCTAGTCATGCCACATCAGGCATAAAAAATAATTGCCGTATTTAATTTAATGCTCGGGTAGGACCGGATAGTATTATTTTATTGCAGGGATCCGGACCGAAACAAAATTTCGGTCCAGTTACGGTTACGGTCCAACAAGATATTTCTCAATTTTAGTTTCGGTCCGGTTAGGCATAATGGGATCTGGAACCATTTAAAATAATGGTTTTTATATATAGTTTCGGTCTCGGTTACGGTTTCTTCAAAATTACTTTTCATATAAATATTTATTTTTGTAAATTACAATATTACAATATATAATATATAAACGAATTTTCTTCACAAAAATATTTAAGCGGCGTCATTTTTTATCAATTTGAACCACCGTTAATGGTTTTAATTTGATGTATTTGTACTTGGTATTGCTTCCTCTGTTGTTGAGATTTTTGTGGCAACGTTGTTGCTATCTGTTTCCAGCGACCGTTTTGCTTGTTTTATTTTCTGAGATTGTGATCACAAAATATAAAATTATCTATTTTTATTTTATCCTTATAATTCATATAATAAAAAAGCTGCGCAATGCCGTTTTGCACTGCACGACACTGACGACTGTCGGAATCGTAGTAACGGAATAGAGGCCCTGAACATAAACTATTGTAGTATGTTGATCGTGGTGTGAATTTTCTAATAAATAATCGGCGGCAGTGACACATGGGGTGTCGTAGAAACCGAAAAAGGACCGAAAACCGAAAATATTTTTATCGATCCGGTATCGGTTTCGTTCTATTTGATACTATAAAATTTCGTTACGATTAATGGTTACGGTTTGAGCATAAAAATCGGTTTCGAAGCGGTTGTCGGTTCCGGTACTGGTCCAGTCTGAATCCTTGCTTTATTCGGACCTCTGATGTTCAAATGAAGTTAACCTGATCAAGACCAGGAGATAAATTTTTAGTCGGGTTCTTCTCTCATCGTGTGAGGGGCCGTCCGAAAACGCCTAGCGACGATCATTTCGACTATAGCGGCGAATCTCTTGCAAAACTGGCCACGTCCCATCACAAGATGCGGCACGTATTTTTGCGAGAAAACTCGCAAAATGCACGCTCGTGCACGCACTCGAGCGATATCGGAGAGCGCGCCGTGTGCTGACGCGCTTTACTTTTACCTCGCTTTTACGCTGTTTTACGCCAGCCAAGCGGCGAATGCGGGTCAACCGACGAAGGCGAGAACGCGTTCGATGAAATCGGCCTGTTTTTGCTGCTGTCTAATCGCACGAACACGTCATCGCCGAACACGGGTCCTGTTCATCTTTTCTTCTCTCGTTTTTCATCAAACAGCCAAAAGGCGCGCGTCGCTCAGACGCGAAACATGTCACGGTGCGTCGTAACGTCCTGACATCTCGCTGCCTCTGACGGCGACCGATCACTCGCCGCCGCTGGCGACGATCACGAGGATGCGGCCGAATGTAAGCAGGTTTGCGTTTTCGCCCTATTCCGGACCCAGTTAGATCTCACGTCGACGCGATCTCCGCGGCTTCGCTTCCAGCGCCTCCGACGGTGAAAATTCGAAAGTCACAGGCAAGGACAGCGCGGGCGTATCGTTATTTATAAAGCGAAATGTGAAAATAGAATATACGATGAGAAATATAATTAAAGGCGTTAATTGAGACAAATGCGTGGATTACGACGTGAATTGGATTTGAAACTCGGCGATTGCGTCGTGTCTCTCGACGTCGGCCAGCCGCGAGTAAACAAACCAGCCGCCGTGCCGCCGCGTCGTCGACATCGGGGCAACGATTGTTCGTGTACCGACGATCAGATTGGCCAAGATCGCCGCTTACTGCTCGTAGAAAATCCCGCCACCGGTTGTTCAACGTTGAGCAAATCGAGCACGTGTGTGAGCGAATGAGTAGACGAGCGAGCGAGCGAGCGAGCGAGCGAAATGAACGAACCAACGAGGCGAGTAAATGTCTGCTTTCTCTGCATACTTGCCTTCGGTATTTGAACGAGTGTTGCAATTTCGTTGTTATCGTCGTAGTCGTTATCGTCGTCGTCGTCGTCGTCGTTGTCGTCGTCGTAGTCATATGTAAGTTCGGCCGAGAGGGACACGATGTCTTACTTCGATTTTCGTTTAGCGTACAACACGCGAACATTCGAAATTCGATCAGAAAGAGAGAAATTTACACCTTGAAGTTTCGTTCGAGTTCATTGCTTTAGATTAATCCAGTAGTTGGTTAATTAAATCTGAAGTTTGCAATAATAATAGTAATAAACTTGATCGGTCGATGGCGGTTGGCAGCAGAGTGGGTGCCTTGCAATTCATTAGATCGAGAATTGTAAAACATTTGAAGAAATTACATTGTCTATCTTTGCATGGACAAATCTGAAAGTACGCTAAACAAAAACGGAATTATCTTCTAAAATACTGCCAACACAACGAGGAAAAAAGCCCGTTTACCGAAAAGAAGAAATCGATTGTTCAAATAAACAACAGCTCGGCGTATTCAGCGAACTTAAACTCTCGAAATGCTGAGTCGAGCCTACATCGGCGCATGCCATTTCTATCGCTCGTCACCTTCCAGAGGAAAACGAGAAAAGGGACATGCGCGGGAAGAAAATATTTATCTACTCAAGTGACCTCATTTGCAATATAATCGATTATACGGTGCCTTGATAAGTAGACAAGATGCAAAGCCGAGCTGAAAAATGTACTTCGCGGTGTCGAAAGAACCAAGTGTTTGCCTCCGCTTTAGAGACTCTCGTGCGTGTCACTCATTTCCCCATCAAAGACCGCCGTTGGAGTTAGAATCGCAGCTGAACTGCGGTATTTATGTTAACAGATTGTTTCTCAATAATTGGCATTTTAGCTTTTCTGCTAATCAGATTCTTCTACGTGCTGAAGTTGAGTAAGTTGCGTACGAAAACGTGGATTTGGGTTGCATGTTCGAAATATTTCTAATTGGCGAAAGCGTTGGAGAAGCGGTGTTCTACGAATCGGCGACTCTTTGCGAATTATTGTATAAATATCTTCAAATAATAATCCTAAATAGTTCGAAACTGTATGTTTTCGTGAAAGTTTACAAATTAAGAGCAACGCATGTCGAAAATGACGTTTAAGAAATCCCTTTTTTAAGATTGCTTAACACGATTTTTATTGCGCCTATTGTTAATAAATGACTAAATATCACAGATTAATATTAAAGCACTAAGAAATAAAGTTGTGATAGGAATGTCTTTGACAAAACTGACATTAATGTCATATCTTGCAAAACTAAGCTCCTAATATATTAGAAGTTTATTCAAAAGTTTTAGTCTTTTTTCTCAGCCCTCTAATGTAATTATTCTTAATTGAAATCTTTTGTCGCCGTTTGGTGCTTTTGTAAAGTTGATATTGAACTTTCTAAACCGCCATTCATTATGATTCATTGGTACACATAACCTTAAAAATGAAACTTGATACAATGAGCGACGGAAAGCTTTATATTGGACACTGCATTCGATATGAATTCCAGCGAGGAAAAAATGCTGCTAAAGCATATGAATCCATTTGAACTTTCTAGAACGTTATTTATTATAATTTATTGATACACATAACCTTAAAAATAATAATTGATATAATGAGCGAAGAAAAAGTTTATATTTGACACTGCATTCGATATGAATTCCAGCGAGGAAAAAATACTGCTGTAGCATATGAATCCATTTAAACTTTTTAGAACGCTCTTTAATATAATTCATAATTCATTATAATTCATTGATGCACATAACCTTAAAAATAACAGTTGATATAATGAGCGAAGAAAAAATTTATATTCGACACTGCATTCGATATGAATTTTAGCAAAGAAAAAATGCTGTTAAAGTATATGAATCCATTTTCTCTGTTCTTGGGGAAAATATTGTGTTCCGCAATATCTGCCAATATTAATTTCGTCGCTTTAAAGACGGTTTTGACGTGAGTGGTCGTCCGCTCCTTGCAATACCACAAAAGCCTGAGGTTTTGGAAGAAATGTTGAACAATGTTGACAATTTGGAAGAATTGTTGAATGAAAACCCGTCTCAAATACAAATAGAACTTGCAGAACAATTCGGAGTTGATCAAGCAATAGTTTCAAGGTGACTGCATAAAATGGAAAAAATTCAAAAGCTTGGAAAGTGGATGTCGCAAAAGAAGAAGAATAAACCTTTGGCACTCACCTAACAGAATCTCGTTGAGTAACTGTCTTTTGAGAGCAACTCATAATCATTGGTGGATTGCCACTTTCAATTTTCCGAGGAAGTAAAAAAAAGCATCGATGACTTCACTGGGTCAAAGTCATTATCTTTTTACCGAAGCAGAATTCGCCAGCTGCCTGAAAGATGGCAAAAGTATGTGGAAAATGATAGGGGCTACTTCGAAGGTTAACAGATTATTCGTTTCTTTTTTTCTTTGGAATAAGTATTAAAATCATGTGCTAAAAAGGTACCGAATTTATTAATACATTTAATGTGCCGAATTTATTTATACATTTAATAACATTACGGTTAGAATTACGGCAAAACTAAGAGAGAGGAGACGTTACATGAACGTTCAACTCGATATTATCGATAATGTTGTGAATAACATACACGAGAAATGTATGGACAATTAGCACACATAAACATCAAAATTGAATTGATGACAAAACGCGATAATAATGAATATTTACTGATAATGAAGATTTACTGATATAATAATGAATATAACAAAGAAAAAAATGCCATAATACAAAGTTACGATTCACGTACTGAATTTCACTCGAAGACACAGTAGCCGTGATATTACTTACCGATAAATATTTATCAGTTGTAAATCACTTTCGCTCCTAAGTTTCACGGCGATAGTTTGGAATCCGTTTATTTCCGGTGTCATTTGATACGTACAAATAGAAGTGCCGCCTTATGGCCTTCGTTCAAATGAATGTATTGAAAACGCTCGGCCAAGAAGCTATTTTTCATTCATGGATCAAAATGACGTTTGCAATTTCATCAATATTTTCCACTGGAATTTTTCACACAGAGCACATAGAAAAATTCTCAGGCCTGCCTGTAATTCAGTGCAGCCTGTAATTAGGCAAATAACGAAGGATTATATACATTAAACAGTATCAACTTTAATGAAAACAAAATAATTAGGTGCACACACAAAAACTTTGACGTCTACTTTTAATGAAGGGAGAACATCACGGACTCTCTGAACGATGACTTTGCGTTCAATGAGAATTTATTGAACCGGTTTTCTACATTTCTATGTTGATTATCGATAGAATATTTCAGATCAGAAATATTTTGCACATATATTCTTAACATAAATGCTTAATTGGTCGACTGATGTAAATACGATCGTCCTTCCGGTAGACATAAATTATATAACGATAAACGATAAAGAAATAACGCAAGAAAAATCAAGAGGTAAAGAGATCAGAGCAAAAAATGGTTATATCGCACACATTTGAAATCTATAATATATGCTAATTTCGTTTCGTTTATTGCGACCTACGTTATATAATTGATTCAAGAAACAGGAAAGAAGCGAGATGTCATAAAGTAAGAAAATTTTAATGATCTACACTAATCTCAACAAGATATCTCGTTGCTTCTGCAGCAAGCAGACGCAGAGAGAAAGAGAGACAGACAGACTTGTATCTCGCGAAAGAAGGATTTTACTTAAGTTTTATCATTGTTAAATATCGCACTAAGTGATTGCAATTTTTGTCACGTCTCACCGAATAACGACGTCTTTTCAATATCCGCAGCTTTTCAGTCGAAATTCTGTTCTGTTTCGCGCGCAGTAACGGGATTCTGTAGTGATTCGTTATGCAGTTGTTACGATAATGACACTGTCATTGCCCAAGTATAATATATGGTTGAAAAGATGCGCAGCATTATGTAACGAACTGATAACTGTCGTTATTAGCACATAACGAGTTACAGAATTCCGCTACAGCTGACAGTCGCGTAGTCACGAGCGCCGAGAAATGTCAGCAAACTTCGCAAACATGGGAGAATGGTCGGTTGCGATTCTACAGGCGCCTGCGATCAGCGTTATCTAGCATTATTTTCACAACATTCGACGCGAAATTAAACATGAAAGAACAGCAGGAATAGCCAAACATTATCTCGATTTATTTATTAGTCAGGAAGAAAGGCGTGTTAATCATGCGCTGCAATAAAGTTACACTTTGACATTTCGGTTTGCTTTATCGTTTGAATCGCGCGAGACAACGTGTATGAATTTTAGTAATTTATGTTAATGCGTAATGTGAAAGAAACCCGTAATTCGTAATTCGACAGTTGGAAAACAGAGGAGATATCACAAGTTACAAAATATAAATAAATACTGATTTCTTATTCGTCGGCGACCTGGATATTTTATTTTGTAATAAGAATAATAATAATAATACTCGCACGAAAACACTTCGTATTTAACAAATTTTTACGACATGTTCTGAAAATCCTGAAAACCAATAAAATCGCTGCTTCAAACTCATGAAATGCACTTACAGAATTTTTTCGGATACTCTCGTTATGCAAATTATATCTGATGCAATCGGATTGAAATTATTCTGCAAACTGAATCATCTGAGACTCGTTTAATGCGCATTTAAATTACGCAATAAGCGCGCAACGACTTCCGTATTGTTACAATGCAACAATTAGCTAAGACAGTTAGCTAATTTTACTTCGCAATGACCTTACGGCATTTTATGATTTTTCATACAAGAAAAAAGGAATTGTTTGTGTATGTGAGAGGAGAAAAGTAGATAAATGAAACGTTGCAAGCGAATGAATGTAAAGCGGGCAAGCGGGGTTATCGATGCGGACCGATGTAACTGTTTAGAGATGCAGTTTTATCGAAATAGTGTATATATGTTATATTTTTATTACGTCATTGACAAGCTTTTTGTGTGAACATCGTTTCTTTTCAGTACCCATAAAAATTCAGCCGAGACCTACTTTGCTCAACTGCCGACGTGTCAACTGTGTGTATCGCGCTGACTTTTTCCTTGATTATTTAATAATACACTCAATAATACTCTAATATAATACAATAAGTTCTAATAATACTCGAAGCTGAAGAACCGAAAGAAACGGAAAAAACTGATCGAAGATTTGTAGTAGTTTCCCAGTGCAATGGACGACATGGCGTCCACAAGTATGGAAAAATTGCACGAGGACCGGTTTTTGATTAATCGAAAAAAGAGCGACTTGCATCAATCAGGATGATTATTCGCTCATATATTATGCATAGTCGTAAAAATAAAGCGCAGTAACTCAATGTTTTTGTGTACTTAGAAAAACTAAATAGTAATATAAATATTAATATATGGATAAAATAATTAAAATCGTATAAAAATTGAAACGCTCTAAGAATAGAATGCTTCCGCCGAAAGCCAAAGGATACGCTCGCGTGCACCGGGAGCGCGTCACGCATTCAGACTTTTGCACACTATTGAAAGTGGAACAATATCTGTGATATATGGACTTACATAACTGTTAACGGTCAATTATGATACAATAGTCCAAGGATTCTTCCGCCGCTTCACGTATTATTCCAAGAACTTGGCGTCGTCTCGACGGAAGAAGAACCAAAAACCACAGGACGCTCGCAGAGTTCCCGGCAAAATAAATGCGTCGATCGGAGAAAGAGAGAAATTAGAGTAAAAGATCTCAGAGGAAAAGGGATTAAAAGAGGGATTAAAGGTGATTAATGGAGAGGAAGTAGAGGAGAATTAAAAATCTTAAGAAATAAAACAAAACCGGAATAAAAACATATAATAAAGGAAAGAAAGATAGTGTATATAACAGATAGAAAGAGATACCATATGTAAAACATGAGTAGAATATAGAATGTAGAATAGGATAATGTATAGAATTGGATAAGATAATGTAAAGGAAAGAAGTGCGAGGAAAGAATGGATGAATGAATGAGAATAAGGCCATATTGTAAACCAAGTCCCTTCTTGGTTAGGAATTAGCTGAAGAATAAATATATACATATATAATATATAAAAAGTATTTCAGAAGAATAGCTCTAATCTAGAACAGTGTTTTTCAAACTTTTTTATCTCATACTTGAACCTTTAGTTAAACTTCCGCGGCACACTTAAATTATGATAATCAAAAAAGAGTTTTAAAAAAATATACCTTTTTGATTTATTTATTAGGTGTACAAATGAATAATCCAATTTTTTCAGCTACATTCAAACTTTATTTTAAAAGGAAGTAAATTAAATTGTTCAATCAAAGTATTCGCCGTTGCTTTCTATAACTTTAAGCCATCTTTCAGGCAGCTGATGAATTCCATCTCGGAAAAATGTTACGTCTTTGGACACGATAAAGTCGTCAAGCCATTTTCGGATCTCATCCACTGATTGGAAGTGCATATCGGACAAGGCGTGTTGCATCGACCGGAACAAGTGATAATCGGATGGAGCAATGTCTGGTGAATACGCCGCAAGTGCTGCAATACGTCCCAGCCAAGACTCATTATGGTGTCTTTTGTATTGGAAGCAATGTGTGGCCTGGCATTGTCATGCAACAATTTCACTGGACGTTCTCCTTTGCCAGTATACAGGCGTTTTCGTTCCAATTTTTGACTCAAGCAGATTAATTGACGTTAGTAACAGTCCGCAGTAACTGTTTCACCCGGTTCCAACAACTCATAATAAAGCACGCCCTTGATATCCCACCAAATGCAGAGAAGAACCTTCTTTCCGAAGCGATTGGGTTTTGCGACCGATTTTGATGATTCGCCGGGATTTACCCATGACTTTCTGCGTTCCGGATTGTCATAGAGTATCCATTTCTCGTCGCCCGTAACGATTTTCCACAAGAAAGACTTTCGACACTGCTTATTGAGAAGAGAAAGACACGCTGCCACTCGTTGATTTTTGTTGGATTCAGTGAGTTCATGCGGAACCTATTTTCCTTCTTTCTGGATCTTTCCCATCTCATGTAGGCGTTTGGAAATCGTTTGCTGCGTTACTCCCAACTGTTCTGCAAGCTCTTTTTGTGTTTGTGCCGAATTCTCAGCGAGCAGTTGTTCCAAATCATCATTATCGCACTTCGGAGGGCCTCCAGGGCGTTGTTTGTCGATTAGACTGAAATTACCGCTTTTAAACCGCTTAAACCAAAATGCGCGCACATCGTACGATACAACATCTTCGCCGAGAAAGGAACAAATCGGTTCGCACGTTCTTGCAGCATTTTTACCTTGTTGGAATTCGTAAGGAATGCAGTGTCGGATATGCACCTTATCTGTTGCCATTTTCGACTGTACTGAACTGAATACTTTTGAAGGTTATGTTGGGCCTTTCGCCAAACTATATGTTCTTTTTAACAGCTATATGTCAACATTGCATAATCACAAAAGAGCGGGAAAATCTATTCAATTTAAAATTGATTTCATAACTGCTTAAAATAATTTGGATTATTCATTTGTACACCTGATATTAACACAAACAAAATGCCACCACCATGACCAAAAAATAAAACAAAACAATCTATTATAATTTGATAAAGGTTACACACTCTACCCACTTTAGAAATAAACCGGTGTTTATTTATCATAACAATGATATATTCGTATAATCAATTTAAAGAGGTTTTAATTTTGATGTACATACTTACTGTGCTTTGAACTGCTTTCGAAAATAATTTAACTAATGATCTTTGAAAATTTTCGCGGCACATCTTAAATCACCTTTCACGGCACACCAGTTGAAAAACGCTGATTTAGAGAGATAGTTTCATCGGGGCACGTTATGCTGAATTGTCGATAAATATGTACGAAGCAACAATTGCAATTTTCTTCTCTCGGGCCATTTTCCCTTCGCTTTTGACGTCAATGCTGATCGCACACTGAGAAAAAAGATTTCGTTGGGTTAACAAAATATCAGTAACCGCGACAAGTGGTTTCTTAACGTGAGCCAGCAAATGACTCCGTTGTGCTAACAAATTATTTTGTTGCTCTAACCAACAATTTCGTGATGGGAACAAACGTTGCATCTTCAACGATGTACACTTGTTAAAATTACAAATAACGAAAAATGCTTTCTCGCGGTAACTGTTTGATTTGTTTTCCGTACAATTATCAAACAGCATTCATTCGTTGTGACAACAGAAGCCTTCTTTTCAGTGCAACTGCCGTTCGCGGAAATAATACGTGTGCAACATTATTTTTCCGATCCTAACCGGACTGAGATAGATCGGTGTGGAAATTAACTGATGACACGATGAAATTTATAATATTTATGCCTGCTCGCTAATGCGTTCGGCTATGCACTAGAAAATTGCTCACTTTGAACTGTTTACGTCGAAATTGTTTCCTGCTAATATCCATTAGCCTCAACTCGCTTCTCTCTGAGACAATTAAAAGAAGAGACGAACATGTATGCAAATAAAACGCTATAAGAAAAATAGTTCTCGTAAAAAGGCGGAAAGAAAAGATGCAATCGTTGAAGAAGAGGTAATCTCTTCGTATGTCATGGAATTTCTTGCGCGATTAAGCCAGGTATGAAAGAGAAGAAAAAAAGAACATAATATCATTGTTGACGTCGTGTCATGACGGCAGTGTCGTCGTGATGCTATGTTCCTGGTACACGCTTTTTACCGGATATTTGTCCGATATGCATTGACGTCATAATAAGAAGTTTACTGTACACAATTTTATTATTGTGCGCTGTAATGAGACGCAGTTTCTGTATCATTTCTTACTCTCAATTTGTCTCCTAGTTATAGCACCTCGTTCATTTCCATACCAGTTACACCTGGGTTTCCCATATTGCGTTTCATTATTCTTGCTACGGGCTTATTAGCAATTGTAATAATTATATCCGCGATCGTCGTGACAATAAGAGGATGCACAAAAAGACGGCGACAAGCGCAGGATCGGTGTCTCGTAATAAACATGTACGTCAAATACAAACTCGTCCAATTTATTCTCAGCACTTGTCAAGATTTTTTCTTCAGACGTTCCGTCACACGAAAGCTGCGTTGCGTCGTATCGCAAAACACGTGCCGCGTCGTTCATTCGCGTCAGCGACGTTCGCAGTCCGCAGGAGACCGAACTTTCATTTTCCATCAGAGCGGAAAAGCTTCCTCCGCGTTTCGTCGACAAAGAGACGTCGTCGAATTCCGTGAGAATTCCACGTCGCGGCTGTGCTCGCAGCCGATTCCGCGACATCCCGAGAACGACGCGAGCGGCGAATGGACTAGACGACCTGAAGAAGTAAGATCGCGCTGCCCGCATAGACCCGCATGGCGAACCGAGACACAGCGGCGATCGATCGAATTCAGCCGGCCAGGCCGCGATCGGCACGTGAGCGGAAGCACATGTGTGCGACACACACGTGCGCCGAGACACGGACGGATATTAGGTGAGGAGGCGATGTGGACGAGGACGAGAGAAGAAAAACGAGAAAGAGCCGACGGGGATCGGTCCCGGCGGCGGTGATGTCGCCCGATAGACGGGGCGACGACAGCTGACCTTGGCGGGAGGGTACCGAGGCCCGTCATCGGGTCCTCCGTCGTCGAGAAGACACCTTTCCCCTACTCGAGCGACAGAGCGACGTTCTACTGCGGCCCCCGGGAGGAGTGACCTTGACTCAGCGTGGCGCGCGGAGTGCAGACGATCACCTGGAAGGCCCCCCCGGTGCAGCCCCTCCTTGCGCACTAACGTTGCTTGAACCCCACTTGCTTAACCAATACTTAAGTCGCGAGCACACCGCGCCGCGGACTATTCCCGCAGCATCGGCCGTTGGACCCATAGCATCTACACGCACGCACCGTCACACCACATGCACGTGTACACCGTCACCGACTACGTACGCGTGCCCTTCCGCCTTCAACGAGACGCCCTGCGATATATACGACGTGTCGGCAGCGGGTATCAGCGGGTATCGCCAGCCAGAGTAGACGGGAACGCGCGTATGCGATCGCGAGCGTGCAGGTAGCAGCAAGGAGACCGGCGAGAGGTCGGTGCAGGGTGGACGAGAAAGAGAAGGAGAGAGAGAGAGAGAGAGAGAGAGAGAGAGAGAGAGAGAGAGAGAGAGAGAGAGAGAGAGAGAGATCCTCGCCCTTCGCGAGGCATCGAGGTGCGACCTTCCGGCCGCGGGAAACGGCGATCGACAATCGCCAGCGGGGGAGCGCAGCACGCCAGCGGAGAGGAGCAGTGTGCGAAAGTCGAGTTCTCGCGAGTCTTGCGGATGCCCCGTTCGATGGTCGGGCCGATTTGACGAGCGGCGACGCTGACGACCAGCACGACGCACGTAGAGAGATCGCAGAGCGGTGACGCTTCGGTGAGGCGGCGGTTTTCGAGAGCGGAAGTGTGAAGTGCACAGTGTGCCGGGCGATTCCTTCGTCGGAGGACTGGAGGACAGGATCTTCGCGCGAAGCTCAGCGGAAAAGCGGGATAAGGTAAGAGTCCGGCGCCTTTGAGCGCCGCACGGCTCAGAGGGCGGTCGCGAAAGCGCGGAGACGTTCCGCCGCGAGAGAAATCGGGGCGTTTCGTTAAATGGCTCGAGACTTGGCGCGCGCCCGTCGGGGGCGAAGCTCGTCCGCGACCTCGTCGGAAGAACGGAGGACACCGCGCCGGCGAATTTCCACGTCGCGAGGCTCCACGGAGCCTGTCCCGGTAATTGGGACTATCGCGCATGTGACCTCAATGTCGAGTCGAGCTTGACCTCATCTCACGGAATCTACGTTCTCGCGCGACGCGGCACGCGATAACAAGGATCGCTCG